CTTCACGTTTCATGACCCCCTGATTCCAAAAAAATGGTTTTTAGCGAAGTGTCTGTCTGTCTGTCTGTCTGTAGAAAATTTTGTCTCGACGATAACTCGAACAAATTTTAACGAATCGACTTGCAATTTGGGGTGCTTTTTTAGTCCATTAAAATGAAGCCTGAGTTCGTTGGACAGCTCATTTCGTCAAAAAACGACAAAAATACAAAACTTTTAAATTTTCAAAAATTTGTATTTTTTCCAATTTTCAAAAAAATATTCTTTTCCAATTTTTTCCTTAAAATTTGTACAAAAACAAACAACTTTTCTTTTACACACTTTTTTGTATAACAAAAAACAAAAAAGTTATGAATTTTTTTGAAATTTTGAAATTTTCAAAATTTTGGATTTTTGACAATTTTCAAAAAAAAAAAATTTTTAATTTTTTTCCTTAAAATTTGTACAAAAACAAACAACTTTTCCTTTACACACTTTTTTGTACAACAAAAAACAAAAAAGTTATGAATTTTTTTTCCAAAAAAGTGCAAAAAATTGAGATTTATAGTGAGTGAAGCATTAGCCGAAACATTAAAAAACATTAAAAACATGTCAAAACTTTAAGTTTTTTCTTTTAGATGCCAAATTTAGGTAAATATACAAAATTAGGAGCAAAAAAGAACTCAAAATATCCGAAAATTTTGCTGTTTTTGAATTTTTTCGTAATATTTGTTTTTTACATTCTCATCAAAAATGAGAAAGTCTTGGATTTGTGCGATTTTGAGAAATTTCTAATTTTGATAAATCTTCACGTTTCATGACCCCCTGATTCCAAAAAAATGGTTTTTAGCGAAGTGTCTGTCTGTCTGTCTGTCTGTCTGTCTGTAGAAAATTTTGTCTCGACGATAACTCGAACAAATTTTAACGAATCGACTTGCAATTTGGGGTGCTTTTTTAGTCCATTAAAATGAAGCCTGAGTTCGTTGGACAGCTCATTTCGTCAAAAAACGACAAAAATACAAAACTTTTAAATTTTCAAAAATTTGTATTTTTTCCAATTTTCAAAAAAATATTCTTTTCCAATTTTTTCCTTAAAATTTGTACAAAAACAAACAACTTTTCTTTTACACACTTTTTTGTATAACAAAAAACAAAAAAGTTATGAATTTTTTTGAAATTTTGAAATTTTCAAAATTTTGGATTTTTGACAATTTTCAAAAAAAAAAAATTTTTTAATTTTTTTCCTTAAAATTTGTACAAAAACAAACAACTTTTCCTTTACACACTTTTTTGTACAACAAAAAACAAAAAAGTTATGAATTTTTTTTCCAAAAAAGTGCAAAAAATTGAGATTTATAGTGAGTGAAGCATTAGCCGAAACATTAAAAAACATTAAAAACATGTCAAAACTTTAAGTTTTTTCTTTTAGATGCCAAATTTAGGTAAATATACAAAATTAGGAGCAAAAAAGAACTCAAAATATCCGAAAATTTTGCTGTTTTTGAATTTTTTCGTAATATTTGTTTTTTACATTCTCATCAAAAATGAGAAAGTCTTGGATTTGTGCGATTTTGAGAAATTTCTAATTTTGATAAATCTTCACGTTTCATGACCCCCTGATTCCAAAAAAATGGTTTTTAGCGAAGTGTCTGTCTGTCTGTCTGTCTGTAGAAAATTTTGTCTCGACGATAACTCGAACAAATTTTAACGAATCGACTTGCAATTTGGGGTGCTTTTTTAGTCCATTAAAATGAAGCCTGAGTTCGTTGGACAGCTCATTTCGTCAAAAAACGACAAAAATACAAAACTTTTAAATTTTCAAAAATTTGTATTTTTTCCAATTTTCAAAAAAATATTCTTTTCCAATTTTTTCCTTAAAATTTGTACAAAAACAAACAACTTTTCTTTTACACACTTTTTTGTATAACAAAAAACAAAAAAGTTATGAATTTTTTTGAAATTTTGAAATTTTCAAAATTTTGGATTTTTGACAATTTTCAAAAAAAAAAAATTTTTTAATTTTTTTCCTTAAAATTTGTACAAAAACAAACAACTTTTCCTTTACACACTTTTTTGTACAACAAAAAACAAAAAAGTTATGAATTTTTTTTCCAAAAAAGTGCAAAAAATTGAGATTTATAGTGAGTGAAGCATTAGCCGAAACATTAAAAAACATTAAAAACATGTCAAAACTTTAAGTTTTTTCTTTTAGATGCCAAATTTAGGTAAATATACAAAATTAGGAGCAAAAAAGAACTCAAAATATCCGAAAATTTTGCTGTTTTTGAATTTTTTCGTAATATTTGTTTTTTACATTCTCATCAAAAATGAGAAAGTCTTGGATTTGTGCGATTTTGAGAAATTTCTAATTTTGATAAATCTTCACGTTTCATGACCCCCTGATTCCAAAAAAATGGTTTTTAGCGAAGTGTCTGTCTGTCTGTCTGTCTGTCTGTTAGAAAATTTTGTCTCGACGATAACTCGAACAAATTTTAACGAATCGACTTGCAATTTGGGGTGCTTTTTTAGTCCATTAAAATGAAGCCTGAGTTCGTTGGACAGCTCATTTCGTCAAAAAACGACAAAAATACAAAACTTTTAAATTTTCAAAAATTTGTATTTTTTCCAATTTTCAAAAAAATATTCTTTTCCAATTTTTTCCTTAAAATTTGTACAAAAACAAACAACTTTTCTTTTACACACTTTTTTGTATAACAAAAAACAAAAAAGTTATGAATTTTTTTGAAATTTTGAAATTTTCAAAATTTTGGATTTTTGACAATTTTCAAAAAAAAAAAATTTTTTAATTTTTTTCCTTAAAATTTGTACAAAAACAAACAACTTTTCCTTTACACACTTTTTTGTACAACAAAAAACAAAAAAGTTATGAATTTTTTTTCCAAAAAAGTGCAAAAAATTGAGATTTATAGTGAGTGAAGCATTAGCCGAAACATTAAAAAACATTAAAAACATGTCAAAACTTTAAGTTTTTTCTTTTAGATGCCAAATTTAGGTAAATATACAAAATTAGGAGCAAAAAAGAACTCAAAATATCCGAAAATTTTGCTGTTTTTGAATTTTTTCGTAATATTTGTTTTTTACATTCTCATCAAAAATGAGAAAGTCTTGGATTTGTGCGATTTTGAGAAATTTCTAATTTTGATAAATCTTCACGTTTCATGACCCCCTGATTCCAAAAAAATGGTTTTTAGCGAAGTGTCTGTCTGTCTGTCTGTCTGTCTGTCTGTAGAAAATTTTGTCTCGACGATAACTCGAACAAATTTTAACGAATCGACTTGCAATTTGGGGTGCTTTTTTAGTCCATTAAAATGAAGCCTGAGTTCGTTGGACAGCTCATTTCGTCAAAAAACGACAAAAATACAAAACTTTTAAATTTTCAAAAATTTGTATTTTTTCCAATTTTCAAAAAAATATTCTTTTCCAATTTTTTCCTTAAAATTTGTACAAAAACAAACAACTTTTCTTTTACACACTTTTTTGTATAACAAAAAACAAAAAAGTTATGAATTTTTTTTTTTTTTTTTTTTTAAGTTTTTGGGCCAGGTATATTTTTTAAGTTTTTGGGCCAGATTTAGCCAAACGGTTTATCTAGAACTAAAAAATTTTATTTTCATATCAAAATATTTTTTTTTGTCTCTCAACATTGTTTAGAAATATTGCTTTACATATTACTCAGAAATTTTTTTTTAAAGCTATTAAAAATTTAATTTTTTAGTATTTCTAAATTAAACAAATTTTTTTTTTGAGTTCTGGTTAACCGATATAAAATTCGAAATATGATTTTTTCATTTTCAATTGCACTATTTGAATATATTTTTTGTTTTTAATCATTTTTACATTATTATCACATGAGAAAGTATTAGTTTTGGTCGAAAATTGACTTTCGCTAATTTCTTGAAATCTCTACGTTTTGGAGTTCCCTGAGTCTGTTAAACATGGTCTAGAAAAAGTGTCTGTCTGTATGTCTGTCTTCGTGTCTGTCTGTAGACACAATGGTGTCCCTACGATAACTCTTGAAAAACTTATTGCATCAACTTGCAACTTTGCATGCACAAAGTTACTGTTAAAATACAGATCGAGTTCGTTAGCTAGATATTTTCGTCGAAAACTACACAAACTACAGTAGTTTCAAAATTTTGAAAATTCAATTTTTTCAAATTTCAATATTTTTAATTTTATATTACTTTCGATTAGAAAAATACAAACAACTTTTCTCTACAACATTTTTTCATAGAAACTTAATTTTTTTTAAGTTTTTGGGTCAGGCGAGGACAACTGGGTTAAAAAAATTTTATTGGTTTTCTAAAATGTTATAACTAAAATATATTCATAAAAGATATAACATTTTAGAAAATCAATGAAATTTTTTTAATACAGTTGTGCTGGTGTGACCCCTTTTTACATTTCAAATTTTTGGTCCTATCTTGTTGGAAATGGTTTTTTTCATTCTCATCACATGAGAAAGTAATATACCAGAGTAACTTTTCTAGGAGATAAACACTTAATTAAAACAAAAATGTCTGAGTAAATAAACAAAGAGTGAAAAGTTAGTCATTACGCTCCGGTCTACACTACACAAAAAATTTGATACTAATTCTTTAAAAATATTTTAGCTGCTTCTGCAAATCATGTTTTTACTAAGAGAGTTAGTATAATTAAAAATAACTTTACAATTTTAATCATCAAGACCAAAAATATACATTTAAATTCACTTAATATCGCAATCATCAACAAACTAAAACATGTGATGAGAATGTAATCCTTAAAGTCGTAGTAACTTTAAGAAAAAAAAACTGTTTTATGAAACATATAATAGGAAACAGGAACATAAATAATGCACAACAATTGCAGACCCCGGCGAGCGAAGCGAGCCATTTGCGCGCGAAGCGCGCAACAACACACGGAGCGCGAAGCGCGACGTGCGAAATAATCGCTGGAGCGCGAAGCGCGACGATCAATAATCGCGCGCCCCGAGGCGCGCTGAAACTTGCGAGGGAACAATCATGACAGGGAACAAATTTGAATTGAGCAATGGTCTTGTTGCGTTTGAGACTAAATTAGGATGGGCTCTCATGGGGAAAAATCCTGCGACTGATCGAACAGATGCAGCCACTGTTGCCATGTCAATGTTTGTAAAAGATGCAAAGATTTCCGATCTGTGGAGTCTCGATGTTTTGGGTATTAAGGATCCAACTAAAAAAGCAAATCAATCAATAAAAGAACAAAGTGTTGAAGATAACTTTTTGAAATCAGTTGTTTACAGTGATAAAAGATACTCGGTTGATTTACCGTGGGTGGATGACCACGCTCCTATTTCTCAGAATTTTGAGTTGTCTGAAAAGAGATTAAAGAATACGGTAGAAAAGTTAAAGCGAGATGATTTGTTTTTTCAGTACGATCAGGTATTTAAAGAATGGCAAAATGAAGGTATTATTGAACCAGTAATGGAAAAGTCGACCCCCGCATGTCACTACTTGCCTCATCGTCCAGTTGTCAAGGAGGAAAGCACGACAAATATACGGCCAGTATTTGATGTTTCGGCATACTTGTCGGGTTTTCCTTCCTTGAATCAATGTTTGGAAAAAGGACCAAACTTAATAGAGTTGATACCCGCTTCGTTGCTGAAATTTCGGGAACACGAAATTGCTGTTTTGGCTGACATTCGTAAGGCATTCTTGCAGATTGGGGTGAATGATAAGGATCGCGATTATTTTTTTTTTATATTGTTTATACTCCTGCCCTATTGGCCTTACGCACTTCGACAAGAGTCCCCGAGAAATACTTTTTTGGATTAAGCATAACCATTCTACTTTAGAAATTTTCTATATATTAACCTAATTTTGCGTCTACAGCCGACTTTATTAGGAGTACTCGCATTACGCCTGGACCACCCGTCAATGGGTTTTCTCGCCAGAGAAGAGGGAAACTGTAGAAAACCTCTCTGAGTACAACCGGTTTATCGACAGTCGAGTTCTAATGGTGTGTACCGGACAATAATCGACGGTGCACATCATTATACCTCGACGTCAAACCTCCCGCTCAGATTGTCTCACGTGCCGGAAAAATACCAAGCCAAGTGGGCGCGAACCAAGGATACTTATACCCTTGGTCCTTAAACGACCACCAACGCCAGGCATTTATCCGACTGAGCCAATCTGTCGGTCAAAGGATCGCGATTATTTAAGGTTTCTTTGGGTGGTTGACGAAAAGCTACAAATTTTTCGACATAAACGTGTAGTGTTTGGTCTAAAGTGTAGTCCTTTTTTATTAGGTGCTGTTTTAAAATTACATTTTACAAATTTATTACAAGCAGCGAAAGACAGTAAAGGATTATGGTCTCGCGAAATCATCGAAAAATTATCGAAATCCTTTTACGTCGATAATTGCACAACCAGTGTGGAGTCGGAGTAGGAATTGCAAAGTTTTATAACGTCAGCGAAAGAAATGATGGCGCTCGGAAGTTTTGATCTTAGAGAATGGGAACATACACGTAATGCTTCGGGTAAGGAATCGACGTTAGTACTCGGTATTTTGTTTAATATAATGCGTGATACTATTGCAGTCAATCCAGCTTTAATAAAAGATGATAGTAATACGGTAGTCACCAAACGCTCGCGTTGGTGGGAGGGACCTGATTGGTTGCGCCGCGATGAATCTAACTGGCCTTGTTTAAGAGAAAAAGTTAACGAGGATGAGGTTGGTGCAGAGATGCGGAGATCGGCTGAACTTACGATGCTAAATGTAAACGACGAAGTAGATTTCGACATAGTAGACAAGTTTTCGTCGTATAATCAAATGATTAGATTTTTTGCTATAATGTTAAAGTTTAAAAATTATAAAATTAGCGGCGAGTTGACAAACGGAAAAAAGTTGACATTTAAAGAGATCCAAAATACTGAAACACAATTTTTAAAAGTCTTACAAAACAAGATGTTTTTTCGAGAAAATAAAGAAAAATTGTCTACTTTATCAACTTTCGTTCATTCTGATGGTTTAATTCGTCTAAAAAACAGGATTTTAGAGCGTGACGATAGTTTTGGTTTCTTGTGTCCAATCGTACTGGATTCAAGCAATCAAGTGGTCAAGTTGCTCATACGAAAGACCCACGAGAACATGGGTCACGCGGGAGTGCAGACAGTCATGTGTCAAATTTGTGAAAAATTTTGGATTTTGTCATCGCGTAAAACTGTTCGCTCTGTTATAAAGAAATGCGTTGTTTGTAATAGATATAATTCGAAACCTTTGAGTGTAAATCCACCACTTTTACCTGTTCATCGTGTCAAGGATGCTGCTGTATTTGAAGTGATTGGGGTTGATTTTGCGGGCCCGGTGTACTTGCGTGGACAAACGAAAGCGTGGATTTGTCTGTATACATGTGCTATTTATCGAGAAGTTCATCTCGAATTGGTGACCTCTTTGTCCACGAATAATTTTTTAGAGAGTTTGCGTAGATTTATTGGACGTCGAGGTAGACCCTCTATAGTTTACAGCGACAACGGAACCAATTTTGTTGGCGCCGAAAATGCTTTTGAAGATTTAAATTGGGATGTCATCGCCAATTACAGTCAGGCTCGGCAAATAGATTGGCGATTTAACCCACCAACTGCCTCATGGTGGGGAGGTTGGTGGGAGCGATTAATTGGAATGATGAAAGTTATTCTTCGCAAAGTTTTAGGAAAAGCATCTCTTACATTTGAAGAGATGTATACCGTTCTATGTAACTGCGAATTGAAGTTAAATTCAAGACCTTTAACCTATGTATCAGAGGAACCAGACGATCTAAAGCCTCTAACGCCTGCAATGTTTTTGCATGATCTTCGACAAAGTGAGATGCCTGATCTAGATATAATTAATAAAGTCGATTTGAATGGTAGATTTAAGCGTAAGCGAGAAATTATGGAACATTTGCGAAATAGATTCCGTAAGGAATACTTAAGTCAATTAGTTTCCAAGTTTAATTTTAAAGAAAATCGAAAGATAAAAACCGGCGACATTGTACTCGTAGGAGATGATATACACAAGCGAATTGATTGGCCTCTAGCTCGAATCGAAAGACTAATTGAAGGTAGAGATGGCACGGAACGCGTTGCCTATTTAAGGACAAAAAATGGCGTTATCAAACGTCCTGTGCAGCGTTTATATCCATTAGAGTTAAGCTACTCTTGCGAAAACGAAGCTACGATAATAAGTAATAAAATGTCGGACGAACCTGGAAGTGAGCCTATTGTAATCGCGAAAGATTGTAAAGCTACGACATCGAAAGAAACAGAACTTAAAACTCGCTGTGGTAGAATTGTTAAAAAACCACGGTTTTTCAAAAATTGAAATGTAATAATTGAGTCATATACTCAAGGTGGGAGGATGTTTGGAATACCAACAATTTATATTTCAAAATAATTAAAATTTGTACCGCGAGAGGGCTTGCCCAAAAATATACGAGGGTTTTTGCGACGGAAGGGAGGGCAGAGTTTTGCATGAGAATGCGTGGTAAGAGTAGCGTCTCGTTTTTATGTTGATCTTACCTTTTGTGAAATGTTTAATTGTAATAAATCCTTTTATTCGTAAAGTTTATGTTTTAATTCTCTCTCTCCTTAACGTGTAAATAAACAATATTTTTATGGGGGTGAATTTGATTGAAATATATTCAGAACAAATATTCTAGACCTTAGAAACGGTATTTAAATTTTTGTACACAATTTATTTAAGAATAATTGGAAATTTGTGAACATTATGATTAGGGGATGATTGTTAGGGGTGGTTTTTATTAATATTAGTTTTAGTTTAAACATAATATATTGTGAGAAAATTCCATAACTTATAGAATGTATAAAAAAATGTTATGTCTATGTTCATGATAATTATTACCAAACTGAGCAACTAATCACGGTGCGCCTTAACTAAAATTAAATAAAAAGGTCTTACACCTAGAAAATTAGTAGACATTCTGAATTTATAATGTTCATAGATAAGAAAAATCAAAAAACTAAAATAATCTGTGGAGAGATTTTGAAATAAATCCACTTTGAACATTTTTGCGCACGAAGTACGATATTTTGGACAATATGGCATTGTTTATTTATATGAATAGGAAGGAAAAAATGATATAATAATCATTTTTAAGTGGCAATTCTATTAAAAATAATAATATTAATAAATTAAAATTTAATAATTATTATTAATATTAATATTAATAATCATTTTTAAGTGGTAATTCTATTAAACTTTTATTATTTTAACATTTTAGTACTAATAAAATATAAAAATGTAACATAATTTAATTATAATTACATCAATTTAAACATGTGAAGCATTTTATGTACAAACAGCGCTCAAAAGGTGTTTAGGATAATCTGGGTGATTCGCAGCAACCTTATTCATTTCCCAGGAAGACTTTAGGAAATCAAAATGTACGGACTCCATATGAAGATTTTTTATATGGGAGAAAAATAACTATATTTTCTATTTTTTAAATAATGTTTATTTTCTATGGCAAAATTAAACATTTTCAAATAATTAATTTCTATAAACCCTAGTTCGGTTGTAATTCAACTTACTTGTTTTTATTTATTTATATCAAATATGCAATTATTTTTCATAATTAATTATTTTAATTTACTCTCTAAATCTGAATTAGTAGTTTTCTACTAGTGAAATAGTGCGAATTCATTTACCAATTGAATTAGTAACTGTTTTTACTATTTTTTAGTAGTTTTTTATTAATTATTAGTAGAAAATTTACTAATTTTAAATAGTAAAAAATACGTTCTACTAATTAAATTAGTAATTTTCCACTAGAAATTATTAAAAAATTACTAAAAATTAGTAAAAAGAGTTACTAATTCAGTTGGTAAACGAATTCGCACTATTTCATTAGTAGTAAACTATTAATTCAGATTTAGGAAGTAAATTAAAATAATTGCATATTTGATATAAATAAATATTTAAATAAATAAAAATATTATAAGTTGAAGTATATTATAAGTATAAGTTGAAATACAACCGAACGAGGGTTTATAGAAATTAATTATTTGAAAATGATTAATTTTGCGCTAAAAAATAAACATTATTTAAAAAATAGAAAATTTAGTTATTCTTCCCATAGATAAAAAAATCACCCGGATTATCCTAAACACCTTTTGAGCGCTGTTTGTAGATAAAATGCTTCACATGTTTAAATTGATGTAATGATAATTAAATTATGTTACATTTTTATATTTTATTAGTACTAAAATGTTAAAATAATAAAAGTTTAATAGAATTACCACTTAAAATGATTATTATATCATTTTTTCCTTCCTATTCATATAAATAAACAATGCCATATTTTCCAAAATATCGTACTTCGTGCGCAAAAATGTTCAAAGTGGATTTATTTCAAAATCTCTCCACAGATTATTTTAGTTTTTTGATTTTTCTTATCTATGAACATTGTAAATTCAGAATATCTACTAATTTTCTAGGTGTAAGACCTTTTTATTTAATTTTAGTTAAGGCGCACCGTGTAATGTATAGAGGATGATTTTTGTAAATTGGTCATTATTTTTAATAGTGTGTATTTGATTGAAATATATTCAGAACAAATGAGCCTCCCAATTCAAGAACTCGCCCGACGCTCGGATGAACACTCTAACGCCAGTCAAACGTTAAGAAAAGTCACAAAAATTAAAATTTGAAATTTTGATTTTTTAGAAGCACTACCTTGTAGGAAATTGAATAGCGCATCTTTTTATCTTTTGAATTTTTTTCGTAGGATGAATATTGTCGGAAATAATGACGAAAAATGGTAAAATTTTGTTCTTCAAATTTCATTGCTTTTTAAAACATAAATCATCGTATCTTCGACAATTATTGTCGAATTGACTTCAAATTTGGTATGCAAGTCTATTTGGGTTCTGGGAAGACGATAAAATGATCAGAATGTAAAAATTTCCTAATTGTTCACTAATTTGTTAATGTAAATAAAGGCTTGTCAATTTTAGGTTAACTTACCTTCGTCGACAAAAAGTCTGCGGTGAACTTTCGAATTGAAAAAACTTCTAGTGAGACATTTGTTTATTAGTATATAAGGAAGTTTTTTGGAAAATATTAGATTAATTTAGGGGTTAGGTTGCCATATTTATTCATTTTGCGCCGGATAAGGAAGGGATTTCTCAAGATGGTTAATTTGTCCCTCTGTTATAAACTCATTTTCCCTCCAAGAGAAATGGCACGAATATCTGTTAATGGTGTATTTGAACATTTAGATTGTTATTCAATAGCTAACTCTCAAATATGAACGATTTGTCCCTCCAGATGTTTAGTCCAATACTCCAGTTTTCTCAGTGTTATATATGCACAGGAACTCCCCGTATAAATGTTCTAAATAAATAAAAAAAAATTTCGACGTATTTTGACCTCCGAAGACCAAAAAACGGATTTTAAAAATTTGTCCCGATGTGTGTGTGTGTGTGTGTGTGTGTGTACTAAAATTACATTTGCCTCAATATCTCAGAACAAGAAAGAGCTAAAGGCCTCAATTTTTTTTTAAATTGTAGGTAGAAGTTTAGTTTTGTTTCGTATTTAGTTTTGTAGAGTTTTTTCAGGCGCATCTTTTGAGCCCTAATTGAACAATTTTCGTCCATATTGACCGGAGATATTAAACTTTTAAAAATCTAAAATTTTGAAAAATAAGACTTTTATAAAATTTTGTTTAAATTATGTAAAAGTAACTTCAAAAAATTATTACCAACTTGAAGAGCATTAAAAAAACGCTTCGATTGACTTATTTTTGAACCTGATTCGGGCAGAAATTATGAAATTATTGGTATTTGAAAAATCAAAAATTGTGGAAAATATCATTTTTTCAAAATTCTTGTTTATTAACTTATGTGTAATTATTAAACTATTATTACCATCTTATAGAATATATAAAAACACATTTTTTGGACCAAGATTTAATGAGTTTTAACCCTTTTATAAAAAGTAATTCTTATATTTCAATTATTATTATTTTTATGAGGAAGCAAAGTGTTCATGAAATGAACACTAAAATTATAAAAATGTACAACTTGGCAGCGGTTTTTTTAAATTATATTATTTTTTTATTATTATTTTTAATAGTATTATTATTAAATTATTAACAAAAATATTAAATTGTTATTATAAAAGCAAAAATAAGAACTAAACTTAAGACAGTCTCATTCTAAAAATATAATATTTGAATTAAAAGTAAAAAATTTTGAAATGTACGATAATTTATGGCTCGAGCCATAAATTATCGTACATTTCAAAATTTTTTACTTTTAATAAAAAAAAATTAAAAAATATAGTAATATATTATATATATTATATAGTAATATATAATATTTATAAAATTATAGTTCAGATCTGAACTATAATTTAATATTCTAGACCTCAGAAACCGTATTTGAATTTTTTGTACACAAATAATTTAAGAATAATTGGAAATTTGTGAAAATTATATTTAGGGGATGATTTTTAGGTGTTGTTTTTATTAATATTAACTTTAGTTTAAACATTATATATATTGTAAGAAAATTCCATGACTTATAGAATCTGTAAAAAAATGTTATGTTTATTTTTATGAGAATAATTACAAATTGACCAAATAATGTACAGAGGATGATTTTTGTCCATTGGTCATTATTTTTATAGGGGTGAATTTAATTTAAATATATTCTGATTAAATCACGAGCCTCATAAATGTTATTTATCTTTTTATCCAATTTTTTAAAGAAAAATTGGAACTTTTTTAAACCTATGTTTAGGGGGTGATTTTTAGGGGTGGTTTTTATTATTTGGAGGGTACAGTGTTAAAACTACATAAATAAAATGTTTTTCTGTTTTACAAGAAAGATTACAACAAATTTGTGAAAGATTACTTTATTTTTCTTTGTTATTCACTCAATTGGCCATATTTTTAGGGTAGTTTGGGCGATTTTTTGGACAAACTGCCCAACCCCTAAATGGAAATAAAATTCGCCATGCGGCATCAAAAACTTGACTTTCTTACGAAAATTTTGAGTATACATACAACATTTTATCTTCAAAAATAAAGTGTGCAGGGGGGTGAACGGATTCAAAAAGCATATATAAAAAATCTGACTAAAGATATTTAGCAAATACCTTTAGGTATCTCTTCAGGGGTCGATTTATTATTTTTTTATTTTCATATTTCTTATAGTGTTAAGAATACTCTCTTAAAATTTTATTCCAAAATTCGAAGTGAAACAAAAGTTATACATACTAACTTATTCTTCGCCATGTCAAAAATGTTTTTATATGCGGATAAGCAGAATCCAATCGAATGATTTAAATGTTTTCTT